AATGAGCCGAACAAAGAGGACCAATCCAATGTATGACTACATTTCCATGAGATCTCTAGACTAGCCATATTCATGGTGACAAAGTCAAATGGTGATCTCCAAGCACTGTGGAAGGCAGAAGTGCTTAGAATATTGTTTAACCGATACAGTTTCAGCTGTAGAAGATGCAAACGTTCTGGAAATGGGAGCAAGCAAGGTTGCGCTGTAGTTGAATATGCTTAACGCCACAGAACTACACACTTAAAAAAGCTCAAATGGTAAGCATAACAAGAACATGGCATCCCTTCATGAGTTCATGCTTTTAAATAAAACTTTTATTATCATCTCTCTTTACTTGTAAGTTTGTGTGTGTTTACACACACATGTGCACGTTCATGTAGGCTATTCATGTGCGGATGCATGCAGAAAACAGAGGTCAACAGAGCCAGCCACCTTATTTTTTGAGATAGGGTCTCTTGCTGACCTGAAACTTACCGGTTAGGCTAGGCCGGCAGGAGCCCCACACATCTATCTGCCTCTCCCCATTTCTGGAAATATAAGTGTGTACCAGCACAGATGGGTTCTGGGATCGAACTCAGGCACTCATGCTTTTGCGGCAAGCACTTTACCAACTGAACTATTGTTGTCTGCATGTCTGTGCATGATGGGGTCACGTGTGCCACAGTGCACATTTGGAAGTCAGAAGGCAACTTTGTGGAGCTGGTTATTTCCTTTTACCTTCAAGTACACTCTGTGGATCAAACTCAGGTCATCAGGCTTGCGCACAAGTGCCTTGACCAACTGAGCCATCTCTCTGGTCTGATATCGCTTTTTTAAATATAAACACATACGCCTTTCTTTACACCAAAGAAAAACCTTTGTAAAGGGTTTACTTAGTTTAGTTTATGGTTTCATTACTAGCAACTTCTGCTCTCTATCTAGATGCTATTTCATGTTTAAGTGAACCACATTCTCAGCTGAACACCAGGATGACAAAAGATGGGTAGGGGTATGTGTCCGCATTTCTTACCTATCATTATATTTTGAAGCTGAACTAGAAGAAATAAACAAATAGAAATGTTATTCGTGGTCTCGAGTAAGCAGCTTCGACGATAAGGATCAGTACATCTAAAGAGAAAATCTTTCTGCCACCAGGCAAGATTGTAATAAAGTCAGCTCATTCATCATCAGCTGAGGGGAAGCGAGCCACCAGAGTCACCAGGCCATAAAGAGTGTACACAGGCCTCTGGCACTTTTAATCAGAAGATCTCAAAGCACTCCCTACTCAGTCATCAACAAAGCTTTGTCAACAGCAGAGTGTAAATGAAGACCTTTTCCATAGTGTTGCACACCCTGCCACTGTTGTCAAAAAATGTTAGGCAAATTAATTTTTAAAACCAAATAATTATAATATGTACCCACACATACTTAAAAATACATTTTACAGTGCTATAGATTGAACCCAAGGCTATATCCCAATTACTACATTTATATGTGTATTTTCATAAATATACACAAGATGTAAGAGGAATTTCAATTTAATTGTATATCACACGGGATCGTATATGAATATTTGATTATAAGCCCTCAAACACTACATAATTAATTAGCAGTAGAAGCACATTACATTTTAGAGGGAGGACTTCGGAGTCAAATAGAGTTGGACTCACTCCCAGTCTGATCTTCCCTTCCCTTTCCAAGATCAGCTGCTGCATTTTCTCCCCGGTGGGGTTCCTTGCTCTTGGTCACTTCCCTCTCATCTTCCTGTTGATTCTTTTATGACTGTTCCCAGGACTGGGTAATTGTCAAGGCTTCTCGGCTTCAGTCTTCCCAGCACTAGTCCATCCTACATAGCTATACCTATTTATCTTCCCAGAATGAAGTCCCACACATGACACGTTCTGCACAAAATACCCAAAGCTTCCCACTGCCACTAACTTCTCACTACAGCATCGCTCTGGGCCCTGTGTACCTTTCCAGGTCCTATGCAGCTTTCCAGTAATTCTCCAACTTGTAGCCTTGGCTTCAACCATTCTGACATATCTATTTCTAGGCTACATTCAGTTGCTATGGATAGTCTATAGTCTTGATCACATGACTTTATTACAATGTCTTTCCTTTATCATTGTCTTTAAAATTCCTAAGCCTTGGCTCAGCTGATAAAGTTTCTTACTGCCAAGACTGATGACCTGAGTTCAATCCCCAGGACCCACATTATGAAAAAGGAGAACTGATTCCTAAAAGTTGTCTTCTGACCTCCACACACATGCCATAGCATACATGTGCATGTACATACACACACACACAAGTAATATTTTTTTTTAATCTGAAGTATTCCTCTAGACTAATTTCCCTGGTAGAGTAACTTTCCTGTCCTTCACCCTCCTGTGAACCCGCTGCTGTATCTCTCTCTTTGTGACCTACAGTTAGTCTTGTAAAAGGCCAGGTTCAATTTAAGACCTGTCATATCTATAATCTTCCCATGGCTTTGCTGTTACCAAGTGAACAATAAGTGCACATTGCACCCACTGTGTTGTATTGGCTCTACTGGAATGCACATGCCCCAAGCCCCTATGTGTCAGAAACCACTAAAATAGAAGAAGAAAACCAAATCAACAGTTTGTCTTCACCATTGAACTCAGCAATAGAGGGTAGGTGCCAGGTTACTGCACCCTTTACTCAACAGAACATCTACGTGCTCATTAAAACAGTAGAAAATTAGTTCCTTGAACATGTAGTAAATAAGAACTTGACCATGACATCTACTCAGATAACTATAGTTCCATTAAATACCTTCCTCTGTACATAGGTATGCACTGAAAATTGAACAAATTTTCATTGGCTGCCTTGGGTTTTGACTTAATGGTGTTAGGAGTGAAAAAAGCATTGCAATAAGACAGGATTTTGTGAAACCCTCTGTCTAATTTCATAATAGTGGGATGCAAACAGCAGAGTTGAAACTGATCATTTACATTTTGTTTGTTTCTGGCCGTGCTGGGGATGGAACCCAGGGCCTGACACATGGTACTCAAGTGCTCCCACTGAGCTACATCCCCTGACCTCAGCTCACTCATTTACTATAAAGCTGTAGACTGTCAAATGGAACATTTTAAAATTATGTTTTAACTCTATCTTTCCTGTTTGGCAATGTTTAGTTTTCATCATTAAAAAGCTTATTTAGACCAACTCAGTAAATCACACAAATATACGATTTGTTAAAATTCCTGGGAAGTAAATGTGGGACCCTGACTCGTCTAACCACTTCTTTCTGCTTCTGTAATTTGCTTGGCTTAAGGCAGCACTAACTCCATTTTGACTAGCTGTTTCGGGCAAGCTCAGGCATGCCCAGGCATGTTGTAATCTTCAGTTACCACCCCCATCCCAAAAAGCTATAGATCAAGCAAGCCTGGGCATATAGCAGCCTTATGAGGTAAAAACAAACTTCTGGCCCCACAGATAACAGTCAGCGCATTCCAGTGCCCTAAAGACAGCCCCTACCAATAAGAATCCTCCCCATACTCAGGGCATAGGACCATCCAATCATTTTAAAGGATGTTTGGCACACATGGGCTTCTGTGAAACTTCCATATAAAAGTGTACACCACCCTAGTTCCGGGCTCTCAGTACTGATCCGCTGCATCGGTGAAATCTGGGGGCCTGGGACTAAGCTGAAATAAAGGCTCTTTGCTGTTACATACACTCCAGATTCCTTGGTGGTCATTGGGGGTCATGAGATCTGGGCATAACAGTAAATATTATTTTAGGGGTTAGAAGGATGACTCAGTGGTTATGAGCATTGGCTACTCTTGCAGAGGACTTGTTCAGTTCCCAGCACCCAAACGGCAGCTAACAACCACCTGTAATTCCTGTTCTAAGTGACCTTACACCTTTTCCTGAACTCTGCAAGCATTACACATACATAGTGCACTTATGTACATGTAGGAAAAACATTCATACACATAAAATACAAACAAATTAATCAAAAAACTTTAAAGAAATTATTTTGAAAATCAGACTATCTTATTAACAAATCCTCAAAAATGTCTTAGCTTTTGCAGTCTGGTACTAATTAATGTACTTTGGCAAAAAGTGACCCACCCACCCCCAAATGCTCACAGAACATCTTTGGGAAATATCTTTCAGGAAGACTCTTTCTCTACACTGGTCCTCTTAATTGGGGCTGCCAAGAACTTCAAAATCATGTATATATCTCAATTGAATCATAATATTTGAAAATTAAAATTCAATAATGCAAAAAAGAAAGGAAAGAGAATCGGTTGGTAACTTAAGACATGCCTCGGGAGAGCAGGGTACCAGGTTTCAAATCACTTCTTCCTGCTTTTAAGTCTTGAACTAAAGAGGCTTCCATTTTACCAATACTATCCTCCATCAGTTCTTTGTGCTACGTATACAGGAAGCATCATTTCCAACTTCTCCTAGACGGATAATGTGTGATGCATTTTAACCACTTACATCAATTTCTGAAATTCTGTAATCAAACTTCATATTGTAAATTTTAATATTTATAAATTTACAGACCAGGTTTTCTAAAGCTAAAAGGAAATTTTCCTAGGAGATAAATTTCCTTTAATTTTATTTATTTTTATTTATTTATTTACTTATTTATTTACTGAGATACTCTTTGCTCTGAGACATTATAAGCAGTTCATTAAAGTTCAGATCTGGTCACTGCTAAAGTTCCTGGGCTTACTGTCATTCCTCTCTCTCTATCTCCTGAGAATTTAAAGGGCTTTCCGCACCTCTTCTCACTAGTCAGAGTTCCCCTCAATGTCTTCTGCAGTAATGAGTTTAAACATGGCTATTTGCCAATGTTCCCTAAATGATGAGTTCCGCCCCCGCCCCCCC